CTAAGATAATAATGTCAGCTGGTATTTCATCATTGTTATAGATTCTTAACATATCACCTACCTTGACATCCTTCCAAGTCTTCTTCGAAAACTTCAAAGTCTTTCCACGATGTTGTCTTCCCATAGAACGGCAGCCTTGCATAGACTGGCGGCCTTGAATAGATTGGCGGCCTTGTTGAAAAGATTGGCGGTAGGGATTCTCACTGAATGGATTCTCACCCATTGAGGGTCTTGGAGTCTCAAGAATGAAATCACTATCGAAACTTTTCTTCATGACTTCTTTGTGGTCTTCATGATCATTACTTTTCAGTTTCTCGCGTGCTTTTTTAGCTTTACCTTCTTTTGTAAGATTACTCTTACAAGAGTTGATAAGTTTAAACAATAATCTCGTATTGAATTTTTTGAATCTTCTCCATAATGACACTTTTTCATCATTGATATTTTGATTGACATAAACGTAATTAGGATTTTCATATGCTGTATTATTTTCCAAAATATGCGTAATTTGATTGTTAACCTCCAAATCGGAGACTGTACGTCTGGAATCCTCAAATGCATCTTTGATTGCAGTAATTATAACGATAACAATCAATGGAACTGCTGCCAATACTGGATTTGGAACACCAAAAATATCGAAAGCACCCAAAATAATTAAAGTTAAGAAATACATATTGGCCACATTATGGATAAACTGATTTGAAATATTCTTTGGTAAAAATGATAAGGGAGTGTACTTTGTCGTTCTGATCTTATTCCTCGAATATGATGTGTTAGGTTTGCCAGTTTCCGTTTCTAAAAATTCATCTGGCAACTGCCTGTTGAAAACAATAGAACGTTTTTCATCTCTATGATCTCTTTGATCCTTCGCTTCCTCCTCTTGTTCGCTATCATCATTGTCATCATGCGCGTCGTCGTCACTTTCGTTATTTGTTTTTGGCTTTCGAATCGAATGATTACGCCCCTTCTTTCCTTTAGTTTTCGACCTCATTATACTTCCATTATGCAGCAATAGTCCTTTCAAGGTCTTCGACCTGGCCATATTTTCCTTCTTGGGTTTTCCCCTTTTATCTCTGGTGGTACCCCATCTGTGCCTTTGCATTACTGTGTCCTTATGGTCGACTGCATTGGGGTCTTGATCAGCTTGGTAGTAGTGATCGTCATCCTCATCAAAAGTAGCATGTTTATACTCGTCTGCAAATGGCGATTGCGGTGCCTTATAAACTTCATTTTCATCTATTACATTGCCAATGAAAGGTGAGCTGATTTTATTATGCATGAAACCCTGTTGTTTGCCAGTATTGGCTGTAGATGATGTCGTGGGAGGAGTCGACGCGGTAGTGTTGGGAAGTTTAAATCTGAGCGACGACTTCCTGCTGGGCGATATCTGTTCTCCTTGAACTCCAGAGTTCGCATGATGGAAACTGAAATGTGATTCAGTAGGCGACTGGATTATCGAGTTAGTGAACAGGTTGGTCGATTTGAAACTATCGTCACTAAAATTCCTCCTTTGTGTCGTGTCCACCAAGTCATCTATATACGTATTGTCATTGGAAAAGCTCTCGTTCTTTTGATCTGCAAACGGACTCTGCTCGTCGTTTTTAGTCATAATGGTTTCCTAGGCGCCTAATATCCGTCTCTGTAAATTAATCCGTTCTATACTATAATTCCACAATTTTGAATAATGAACACTGAATAAAACCTGCTAGCAGTTAAGGATGCCAACAAAACGATTTGCAATAAACAGAACTACGTCAATTCTTATTAAAAAGGGAGAAAAGAGAAATTTTAGGTAACCATTAAAGGGAAACTGATTTGATCCGCGATCTAACGTTTCATGCGAAAAAAAATTGATTACAAAGATTAACGCGATTTTGATTTCGTCAAGGAATCTCGTTACGATGTTGAATGACATCGGAAAACTTGGGATAGAGGATAGTGTACGCCAAATATGCTTATTTGTATAAGAAATCTGATATGCTGTAAAGGTTGACATTCTGTTAATGTAGAATTCAGTTCCTGAAGCTATAGATCAATTTGAGACATTTAGTAAAGGCATTAATGCACGGTCGGGTGCATTAATGCCGAATGGGCCGTAAGATCCGATCCGGACCATCAAACTACTTTAATATAGGCAAGACAATAAAAGACTTAGTAAACGGTACTTTAGATTAAACTATGGAGGGATATACCTGTTGTAGAGGAGATGTGCTAAAGATAATACTTCTACTGATTATTGGAGTGGACTAGTAACCTTCATATACCAGGACCATCAACTCGTAAGGTCGAACTGAGAGATATCCTGTCGACAGTACTAAAATTAGACACCAAGATATTCTAACGCGTCAATGAAGATACGAAAATGCTGACAAAACTTTGTCTATATGCTATAGCGAATTTGTAAGCCATGAATTAATTTTGCATAGCATACTTCGAAGTCCATTCTTTGGCCATTTCAATGGCAGCCCTTTCGTCCTTCTTCCAGTCTTCTGCCACATCGTTGGCCAACGGATCGTCAGGATTTGGCGCTCCCAATAAAGCCTGCACGGACAAAAGTATCGTTCTGATTTGTAGGGCTGGACTCCAGTTATCTTTCAACACATCAAGACAGATCCTACCTAATTTGTCGATATTAGGGTGATATATTTTGGTCAAGAATCTGACCTTAGGAGCGCACATCGGATAATCGTCTGGCAAGTAGAGTTCCAATTTGAACAATCCATTGGCATAAGGTGAAGACGATGGGCCCTCAATCGTGACTTCGAAATAACGGAGGTTCTCTTCTGAAGGAGTAGCTGTAATGCCTGGAACTGGATCAGATACAAGCCTCTCTGTTTCCTTAATAATTCTCTTAGGTAATGCTGCCATCTTCGGTATATGCTAATGTAGTATTTGCTTATTACCCTTAGCATGATGCTAGTATGCGAATTTCAATCCCTTTGATTAAGGATTTACCAACCGCTGAGAATAGGTCGTACGCGAACCACATATAAAATTTTGGTAGGTAGAAAAAATAATTGGATCCTACTGGTTAGATAGCCTTAAACAACATACAGAAGTTACTATGACACAAAAGGTACCACCAACTCCACCATTTAGCCATAGATTCGTAGTAGGAACCATAGCTTTAGTGGCGGGATTATATCTTCTCATGGACGCCGGAAAAGATTTCGAATACATTAAGTTCACACCTCATTCCCCAGAAGAGACTGAAAGACGTAAAAAAGAACATGTGGGTTTACAGATAAAACAACTTGATACTAGAACCTTGGACTATACTCCCGAGGCCAAAGAAAGGTTACGAGGATTAGTTGAACAAAACAACCTGGACTCTAACAATAATGAACTGAAGTAAAGATCGTAATTTTGGCAACGGGTACGGGGTCGAACACATCTGCTTGCGATACCATCATGCTTATAAGGGTATTACTTCTAGATCTGCAATAACTAGCTCTGAGGCTAAATAATTTAATAGTTTGTATAAGCCATATGATATAATGTAACCAAGTTTTGGCCAGACCTTTGTGTAAAACATTGGATCTAAAATGGTAAGACTGGTATCTTGTTCGGGCCGGATTTAAATGGATTAAACTTTATGCTATCAAATAGATATGTTAATTAACACAGATTAAGAAATAGGCTTCCACATTAGTTGAATGAATTCAAAATCTAGGTCTGGATTAGGCAGTTCATACAGTTCGATAAACTTTGCCTAGGGCCCAAGGGTTACGTAATGCAAATGTTAAGTTGCTTTATATCAGAATTTCGTTTAGTGATTTGGGATTTTAGTTCATAGGCTCTATTACAATGCAATGTAATTTCTTATAATCTGTAATCTGCATTCCTAATTAGTTCATTGCAGGGAACTAATTAGGAATGTACAATAGAAACTCAATTTAGAGAGAAGCAATACGAAAGTCTAAATCACGTTCTTATTATAGACAGTCATCATCGCTAGTGCATGTTTATCCAGAATCAAATTTCATGTGCATGGGTTGAACCCCCCACCCCCCTTTCAGACCTAATTAGTCTTCGCATTACTTTTAGGAGCGTCATAGTCGTAAATATGTCCATTGTATACAGGTAATTACTGTCTATTTAGGCTTCCGATCAAATGAGGAGCTTTCCTTTCGCACGAGCCTTCATTTCAATACCACTATCAGCTGGAATGTCAAGTCTAACTAAAACGACTCCTTCGAAATAAAATTATAAGATCGACAAACCATCCTAATTTGGCAGAATACCCCACAATATCAAAAAGTGCATGAGTATGTGAGTTTCCATACCCTTTCATAGAATTCATCATAAGGACTTGGTCAATATGATGTGCATCTGTATATTTCAAATATCTGTAGCAAGATACCTACCACATTTTTTTCCAGCTATATCCTACGAGCAATCAAAGACACACGTATTGCACTTCATCGCCTTACTTTATTGCCACACTCTCGAGAATGCCTTAGGCTCACATTTATTTATCCCCTCTCCTAATTAGGCTGCACTGTAGGTATTCTACTGCAAGTGTAATATTTTATTGTAATTACCTTGCCTAATTAGGTCGAACTCCACCTTTAGCGGCGGCATGTGTTAAATTTAATAGAATGCATCATATGCCTAATGAAGAAAGTGAGGAGTTATGCTTTCAACCCGTTTAGGAAATTTATATGCAAATCAATTTACCTATTTAAGTAATTTTTAAATCATGCACATGGTTACAACATTGATCTGAAGTTTATTATTCCATCTGAAACAGAGGAAGATGTGTATGTGACTAAGTAATAGAAGCCTCCAGATCAAACAGAATTAGAGAAAATACATGAGTGAAGTTCTTAGAGAAAGATGTAGAGAACAGGAGCAAATAAGTCAAATGTAAGTAAATGTAAAGTTAGCGAGCGAAGAAACTATAACGAAAAATAAACTTGGAAATAGGCTTTATTCTCACAACGTAAAATCTGGGGACGACAAATAAATTGGAATGAAATATTTTTTAAAAATGATGCGGCTTAGAGACAAACGATCGACAATACCCAATTGGGACATGAAAATAAAACCAAACTTTCAGATGTAAACCATTTACCCTCCGATTCCATCGTTGCATCCATTTAATGCATCTAATTAACAACAAAGGAACAATGATATGGATTGCAAGGCACCTAGATTTCGTAATCCATGATTACAATTCTCTTTTAGCAATGGTCCGAATGAAATAAATACCTTTGAAATCCCACAATTTTTTCTGGATTCATAATAGGGTTGTGATTATAACTTTAATATCTTTCTTCTTAGTACACATTACTACAATTGATACCCCTACCAAGATGGAAAGTAAAAAGTAAGTATAACATAGTCATTGCACTACGCAGCGTATATGTTGTTGGTGCCAATTACAAGTATAAAGATACTAACTATTGATAGTACCATAATAGAACATCCTCCTAATGGACAAAAGAGATGGAGAATAACTTCGGGAAAATCAAACTCACTGATGAAAGGATCAAAGAATTCAAAAATCCCAAAATCGCAGAGGGTGATCCAGTGTTTTCAGAATTCGTTACAAATCGCTGCCGCGGGGCAGCAATATCAAGGAAAAAAGTCAAAGAGGCCTAAAAATAAGCCTGGGATGCCAAAAGATTTTATATTTGTGGATTTATCGCCTGTCAAAAACGCTGAAGACTCTTCGGACGAGGGCGACAATAGCAGTTTAGTCTCGCCAGCTATTACACCAGATACTACTGTTGATAATCAAGAACAGAATACTGTTTCACCAACTATTACACCAGATACTACTGCTTTGGATAATCAAAAATTGAATGCTGATTCATATTTCGAGTTATCTACCTCGAATGACTCCTTTCAATCTCTGCAATCCGACGAGGAATCAATTTTCTCATCGTTGGAGGATTCATCGTCGTCCAACTCATCCACTTTTGGAACAGAGCCTTATATACAGGAATGTAACCAAATTAATACCCAATCGAGTGCAAACAATGATGCCATGCTTGGATTAGGTATACTTAACATGGATATGACGTCTAATGCGGGTCATTGGATGGCAGAGAGCGATGATATGTACTACCAAGAAAGCTTTAATTATGAACCATCAGTGGCTTATAGCTCACATATTAATCCATTTCCTGTTATTGAACAATCAAAAGTTGAGCCTCAATTCGAGGGCTTGAAGAGATCCAACACAGTCACCGAGTTGCCTACACAAACTGAGCAATCCACTTCCCACAGAAGGGCAAAGTCAACATGCGAACCTTCGAAAAAGAGATCTAGCTCGACTTTGCAATTCAGAGTTTACAAAGCACCTTCTAGTAAAGCAAAGAAAAACTTGTCTCCTGAGTTGAACCATAGACGCACAATTTCTGAACCATCATTAGCAATTCCAAGAAATCCCAATGCTTTTGACTTGATGGATTTTGACAATCAAATGTTTGTGGATTTGAATGGCGATGAATCTTCTGATAACTGTAATTCAGTGATGTCAGAATCTAATATTTTTACTCCTAGCACTGATTACTCCGAAGCTGAGGATTACACCAGTGATTTATTAAAGTCTTCGAATATGGACACTTTTTTACTTGGAGGTTGTGGTTCAAATGAATTTTTGGGAAATAACCAATATGATTTCGATTTTAATTCTTATGTATCTTATTGAGAATATTGATATCACGATTTTGAGGTTAGGATTTTGGGTTTTTTTTTATTGAACCTTTTTATAATTTCGTTTATGACTAGGATTACATTTCGTGCCAGTTAGATTGGCTTGCATTATATCTTCTTGACTTTGAATTTGGCTTGAAGAAATTCGTACCATTATGTTGGTTTTCATTATTTCGCGCCATTAGATTGGCTTTCTTTGTTTCATACCACCATCAATGTGGTTTGCTTTACATGTTTTCGTGCTAGAATTGGCTTGTATTTATTCGTGCCATTAAATTGGTTCTCATTAATTTTCGTGCTATTAAGTTGGCTTATTACATTTTCGTGTCATTAATTTGACTTACTTTGATATATTCGTGCCGTCAAATCGGCTTTGCATTACATTCGTGCCAGTAATTTGGCTTGCATTTTTTTTCGTGCCGTTAAATCGGTTCTACATTTACTTCGTGCCATTAATTTGGTTTCCTAACATTTGGTATCATTGAATTCTATTTCATAGAATCCTTTATATTTTTCCTGCGTTTTTTATTGAACCTAAGTGATTATAAATTGAGTTTTTTTCATATTTCATGTGAACTATTATTGACTTCATATTCGTCACATTGCCTATTTTCGGTAATTCAATGGTACATTTGTTTAATATACCCCCTTATCCTTTTGTTAATTCGGTTAGCCACAATCAATTTAAGATTGGTTTCATCTGGTCTTTTGATAGCGGCAATTGTTATTTATTGGTTGTACATTATCTTATATTTTATACCTAGTTATTTAACTAAATTATTATTATATTTCATTAAGATTAAACTAAAAGTTAGTTTCCCTGTAACTATATATCTCCCCTGTTGGTAACTAACTTGAATATTGATTAGCATAATGTATTGAACTCATTAGTACATTTTTCCCAATTAGGTTCCGTTCGTTCGGGCAACTAATCAAATTTGGAAGATGCTAGAGGCTTCCATGCTTTAGCGATCAATGTGAATTACCTTTCAAGGAATATCATTTAGAAGTAACACAATATTCAAGAAATTGCCTAAACTGGTGTGGCATTAAGTTGGATATAGCAGAGTTATTACCCTAAAGGGTAATGCCGAAACCGTAGCAAACTCTTATATAAGGTATTTCTTTGCGATCAATAATAAAAGTTGGTATATCTCTTCGTAAGTCTTTGAGCGAGAAAATGCATACTTCACAGATATAAGCACATATTTGCTATCGTGGCACATTTATTTTTGAGTGACAGGGCTTGGCGATCTAGTATTAACGATTGTTTTTAATCTCTCAAGTAATTTATACTGACCATATCCTGTGTCTTGAAACGCATTTTCTTAATACTGCTTAAAATAAACGTTTAGAAAAATAGTAACCCGATTTAGTAATACTAAATGTATAGTCTCCAGTGAGATAATATTGCATAATTTTTAATATACATGTTATAATAAATCATGGAATGATTTAAGTGCAGATTTGTTCGATATTGAAGAATTTGAATCTTGTGATAGCGTATTTATAACTTCTAATATCAATTGCTTATTTAAATCATTCTGTTCCTTTTGGAACCTATTATTTGATTCAATTATTTTATTGCACCTCTCATTTTGCTCCTTTATAAATTTAATATTGTCTTCTATAATTCTAGTATTTTCCTTTTGTTGCTGAATTTGAAACTCAGTATATTCATTAAGAAGCTTTTCCAATAAGTTGTATAGATTTTGTTGGGAGTAGGAAGAGCTATTATCGCTCATGGTCTTTCGAATATTATTATAAGTATCATTAACATTCAGAATTAAACTGCTCGATTTCGAAGATAATCGTGCAGATGAGGTAGCAAATTGTGCATTATTTGGCGTAGAATTAGCAGTGGGTATATTCGCAGAAACATTAGATGTTTCAATTGGTGATGTAATTGATTTGTTCAAATCAAATGATTGTAGAATATTAGCGTTAGGCAATTCAATAGCGACAGGCGTGTTTGTCCCTTTGCCAGTTTTTAATTTTTCACTGAGGTCGTTTAATTCTAGTAATGCTAGTTCTAAATCATTCAACGAACTGTCTTTGTTAATCGTACTTAATATGAAGTATGAAGAGTCCAAATTTTTATTTTCTTTGTTACCTTTATTATTCTGTCGCCTCAGCTTAGCCTTTTTGATAGCTGTAGCTAACTGCCGTTGCAAAGTCCTTACTGTGGGCACAATCACTTCTAGATATCCGTCAGAATTTTTGCGCTTAATCTCCGCAAATTTTGTTTGAATTATTTCCCATTTCTTCGTTTGGCTAAGTGATCTGTCACCAACATATTTGAATGGCTTGATATTGATCGTTAAGTACAAAATTAGTCTCACGTCTTGACTTGTTAATTTGGTGCGATGGTTATTTTTCAATATTATTGAATTTGAATCACCGTTAGATTCATAATCATTCACTGTGGTTTGATTAGAACTTGACTCATCCATACTTGTATTGGATATTGAGATATCGCTATTACTTTTGTGGGCATTACTTAGACCATTAACATTATTACCATTAAAACTATTGCTATTATTTTGCATATTAGACTTTAATGGATCAATCAACTGCCGAACTTGACTATACCCATGATTAACAGCTTCCTCTCTATTCATAGACATAGCTAATTGTAGTAGTTTTTAAGAAGGATTGTACTTTTTCAAGCTATCTTTAGCGGTATACTTTATTTCTCATTCTATTTACATTTTACCAGGGGAATGTCATTTTTGTGAGAAATCTATGTCAAAAAACTCAATATTTTGACAAACGAAATTTTTATAGGAATGCTATATAGACTATTTACGCTATTTTTCTTTATAGTACAATAGCTCAATTCAAGTTAAACCCTGCAGCAAATGAGCTAGTTATGTTTTTAATTTCGTCGTTCAGACTTCCCAGATTATCGTAATAATTACCAATATTACTAAGTTTATTTAACTTACTAACGAAATTGGCATTGATTGGATTTGAGCCCTCGATAAAAGTATTATATTCATCGTTTGTCTTACCCAAACTTGGCCATTGTTGTCTCCCTAGCATAGAATTATTTTGATCCGGTGCGTAAGACATAATACTTGCCGTATCGAATTCATTATTAAATTGTTGATGTGGTACAAACTTTTTAGAATGTGGTGTATTAACATTTGCTTTAAGGTTGTTCAATTGAACCATAGACAACTGCAAGTTATCTAAGGAACCATCAACGAGGCAACCTTTTTCTCTGAAATGAATCAATAAATGATTCCACAATGTATTACGACACAAGGCTCTTGGATTACCCAAAATAACTAACCCATACTTGGCTCTTGTTAAAGCAACATTCAATCTTCTTGGGTCGCTCAAAAATCCAATGACTTGCAGATCATTAGCTCTAACACAACTCAAGATAATAAAATCCTTCTCTCTACCTTGAAAGGCATCGACACTTGTAATTTCGACTTCTAAATACTTCTCCTTTAATTCGGTTAATGTACTATTCATTGACATATATTGAACAATGTATGCTCTTTGACCTTCATAAGGTGTAATAACCCCAATTTGACTAGGTTCTATGCCGTCCTTGAATAATTTGGTAATTATCTTTTCAACATTCATTGCTTCCACCCGATTTAAGAACGAGTTACCACTTCCAGATATTTCTTCTCTACCATAATTCGCCCAAAACATCATAGGGTTATCTAGGACTGGCCATGGGAAAATAGAGTTTTCAATTAATCTTTGTTTTGCAGTGACACCATTTTGCAATGAACCTTCATAAAACATATTTGATGGAAATTCAGATAAGCAAGGATTCATTCTATACTGAACTTCTAATCTGATAGGCACATGGCCCAACACGACTAATCTCTCAAATAATGACTGCTTTAATCCAGCATCGCCCGCTTTCTTATCTAATATTACTGGTCCTAATTGTTGATGATCACCGACTAATATCACCTGCTTAGCACCCTTAACTATTGGAATTAAAACCTCGGGTTCCGAAGCTTGTGTACTTTCATCAACCAAAACAGTTCTAAATTTTAAATTCGACAATCTCTTATCACCAGCACCAACACAGGTACAACAAACCACGTCACACTTATTTAAAATTTTCATTTCAGACGACCTAGTTAACTTAATAAGTTGTCTTGAATCGGACTCTGATAATTCTCCTAACTCGTTTCTCAAACGTATCAACTTCTTTAATTCACCCTTAGCAGATTTGTTAACAATATTGTGTAGAGCCAAATCATTGACAGAACTTTCAACATCTTCTCGGGATTTAGCAGTTAATCTGATAACTTTTAAGCCTAATAAATTAAGCTTATCAGCTAAGTGATCAACTGCCACATTTGATGGGGCACAAACCAATATTTTTTCCTTACTTAACTTTGATAAGTGGTAGACAATTGTTGCGGAAGTTACAGTCTTACCTGTACCTGGAGGACCTTGAATTAATGACAATGGCCTTTGTAAAACAGACCTCACTGCATTTGTCTGAGACATATTCAATTCCGTTAAATTTGGATGTGAAAATTTATTTGGCAACTTTATGTCAAACTCAATAGGAGCTACTTCATGACCCAAAATCTTATGATAAATATAACTTGATACTGACTCTTTCTCGGTAGCAAAGTCTTTCATAGCTTGTTGCATTCTTTCGTAAGACGTACCCTTCCAAACAAATTCTGCTGTGAAATCTGTTGCTAAATGTGTCGGTGGTTGCAACTTCGATGGATTTAATTCTAGGGTGAATTCCTCTTGATATGCGTTTGGTAACCTAACAATATACCCATTACCTTGCCAAGGCTCTTGATTAAGTCCACTATAACGAAGAATAATTTCATCTCCTACTGCAACTTTTAATTCATTACTTTCAAAAGTAGATAAAGTAAATGATGCCAAATGTTTATTATTTAAACCAAGTGCCCATTTAACTGAAATGTGTTCTAACGCTTGAGATTCTTTCAAATTCTTGTCAAAATCACCCTCTAATTTGATTAACGGCGC